GGCCCACCGACCCTCACCAAGTTAACACCCGAGTGTGTGGCACCCACCTGTGATGGTCCTGCTCCGTGTTGCGGCTGCGGTCTCCGTTGCTCCTCGTGGCGATCAGCGTGTGTGAGTTTCCTGGAAAACATGACTCAGCAAAAAAGAGGAGCCGACGGAGACGGAGGAGGGAGAATGCGCTCCGGCAGGTGGGTGGTGACTCGGGTGTAACGTTAAAACTTAACTTTTAATAATTTAAATTTAAAAAGTCCAAGTAGGGTTTGTGAATTTAATTAAGTAAAGCTAGTTAAAAGGTTGAAGTCGGCGAGCGATCCGACAGAGCGGGTACCCCTGACGTTTCGCGCCGATCTGGCGCTTCTTCAGAGGGGTATAGAGGGAGGAAGCAGGCTACGGTGTGAGAGGGTGGCTTATATAAGGAGAATGCTCTCTCCGTCTAATCAGCCACCCTCTCACTGCCGGTTGGCCCACAGCTGCGGGGCCGCCCAGGTGGAGTTTGGGCCTATGGGAGAGGGAAGTGTGGGGAGGGCAAAAGACTATAGGTGAAAAGAAAAGGGGGAGGAGTCAAGGTGGGGGTACTGTATGAGGATTGGAGGAGCAACACGGGTTAAAGGTGAACTTTGTATGTGAGTGATCCTGAATGGTGCCCCCAGAGGAACATACAGGTTTGTTCTAGACTGTTCCCCCCAGTGAGCTATGCAATTGCATTAGAAATGATCAATAAGGGTTATTATAAGGAGGAGAGCGGAGGGAAGTACGGCCTCCCGAGCTACACCTGTGGAGGAAAATAATATAATAAAAATAAATAAAGTAAAGAAATAAAACTCCTTGTTTTAGGGTTAGGATATATGTGACTAATAGTGATGAAGGAATTATTATTCCAGGGTTCAATATGGTTAGGGTTAGGATAAGCCAAGGTAGGGGTTATAATCCTAATAACTGAAATAGGTTAAAATAAATAATCTGATAGTGAAAATGGTAATGATTGACCTTGGGAAAGTGTATCTAAGCAGAAGGTCATGGAATGATGGTCAGGTGGAGTTGGGATGGACAAAAGAAAATGAGATAATAAAACACTAAGGGAAAAAGAAAACATGATGATGGAAATAGATAGGTAATCTTCAAATTAAATAATAAGAGATATGATTATATCTAATATGTGTAAATAAATGATACAATAAAAAGAAAATAACCAAACTAGGTGTAAACAGAGCAGACGGAGAAGCAAGAGAGACCACACACCCCCGGCTCTGGCAAGGTTAGGTTCGGAGTGGGTGAAGTTTGAAGCCCAGATTGGGCTCTGGTGCACTGGCCTGGGGGCGTGCGGTCCGTCGTGCTGACCCCGCCTCCCTGGAAATGAAATACAACTTGTGTAGAAACAAAATTAAGCAAATGACACTACTTGTGTTGTGGAGGTAAAAGCGGAATGAATAAAACAACAGAAAAGAACAATAACCAAAAGTATAAATTGGTGTTCAGCCTGTGTTCTAAAGCCAACACAGGTGCAGCTCAGGAGGAATGCATAAAATATGGCAATGAGTCTCAATTCATGGTTAGTGACAGTTAAATAATAGAGACAGCCAAAAAATTGCATTTTAAAAGGAAACCAGACTAGAAAATCATAAAACACAGACAGACTTAAAGCAGAAACAATAAACTTGTATTGAGGTTTGATAAAGTTTTAATTAAATATGATGTTCCATAATATGTTCTTTATTTTCAGGTCTGGTGTGCTGATCCGGAGGTTTGTAGAATACAAGACGAGTTCCCTCCGCTCTCCTCCTATCTTAGGGATTCAAGTGAGGTAAGTTGTTGTTATTTTGAATTTTGTTGGTGGAATTGTGGTTAATTATTGTGGTAGTAGTATACCATCGAATTCGGCCTTCCCAGTGTTGTTAGAAAATGTGTAAGGTTTTTACTTAGTGTTATGGTTTATGGTGCCGAGGTAAGTATGTGTCGATGTATATTTAACCTTAATAAAGTGTGTGTATAATGTGTTGTGAATTAACTTTGTTTTTATTATGTGTGTGCTCCTGTACCGATAGTGATATGTCTGTTATGGGTGCATTTGGGAAGGCCGAGTGAGCTTTTTTGACCATGAATCTGAGTTGCAGAATTTTCTCAGATTTCCCGGAACTGATGGGGGGAGGTGCCCGTCAAGCTGCTGGCCCGGGTGCCAACCCCGCAGCTTGTTGCTGTCAGGGGGACGGTGGCAGACCGGGTCAGAGGCTGCAGCGGGGCCCGCGCCCCTAACGGGAGGATCGCCCGGCTCGGCGCGCGCTCCCGATCGCTGTATAAGAGACTGTGAGGGGAGATCAGAGTTAGAATGTGGGTCTGTCATGTTGACTTTGTGACCTTGTTTTCTCATCATTTTAATCCCCTGGTTTTTCACAGACTCTCTAGCTATGTATGGAGCCGCCACCGAGCCAGCGAGAGCGCCCTCCCGGTTCTGATGGACCGGGGGCGCGGGCACCAAGATGTTATATTGGCCATCCGCCTCCACCTCCGAGCCCAGGTCTGCCACAGAGCAGGTGGAAATTTCACTGCTGCTGCGGGGCTGGAGGTCCTGTTTTGGTTTATTGTTATTTTGAGGAAATGTGATGTTATCCCCAGGCCAGCAGCCATCTATGGGAGCAGTCAGCGTCCTCTGGGGGCAGCGCCTGTGGGGAGAGGTGGGGAATGAGGAGCTCCCCGTGGCCAGAGTTGTGTGTGCAGACTGTAAAGGAAAACGGTTAGGTGGGGATGAAGAGGGGTTAGACTCAGGTAAATGAAGGGAGGTGGAAAAACCCTCATCTGAGTTGGAAAAAAGGAGAGGAGAAGGAGGGGGGGGGCAGGAAGCGGAGGCTGAAGGAAAAAGCAGGTTGTAAGTTTCGGGGATTGTGTAATCTTGTAATCTGTCCCCATAGCGTCTTTTGGCCCAATTAGTGGCTGCTGTGAACGCTAGCTTATTTCCTGGAGTGCTGGTGAGGTGTGTTATGATGTTTGAGTAGTGTTTTAATAAAATTTCCATATTGTTTCTCATCCAGATGTCTGTGTTGTCTTCTATCATTTTTGAGGTTTCTAATGTGGGTGAAGATGGTTTAATGAATGCAGCTGTTTTGTCTGTTATGTGCATCATGCCCCATGGAAATTCACCCGCTGAATGTGCCTGTTCTATGTTGTCCTTGTGATGTACAGCCTGAATGAGCTTGAAGTGTTGTTTTGCAATTGATCTGGTGACGGTGTCTAATGCTTGTCTGGGTGGCCTGTGTGTGTTGTTGTTTGTACCGTGTGAGTTTCTGGGTCCGCTACCTGCCCCGTGCTGTGCAGCTGTGGGTCTGTCTGCTCCCCCCCGACCACGCCCGTGTCGGGGCCCACCGACCCTCACCAAGTTAAAACCCGAGTGTGTGGCACCCACCTGTGATGGTCCTGCTCCGTGTTGCGGCTGCGGTCTCCGTTGCTCCTCGTGGCGATCAGCGTGTGTGAGTTTCCTGGAAAACATGACTCAGCAAAAAAGAGGAGCCGACGGAGACGGAGGAGGGAGAGTGCGCTCCGGCAGGTGGGTGGTGGCTCGGGTGTAACGTTAAAACTTAACTTTTAATAATTTAAATTTAAAAAGTCCAAATAGGGTTGGTGAATTTAATTAAATAAAGCTAGTTAAAAGGTTGAGGTCGGCGAGCGATCCGACAGAGCGGGTACCCCTGACGTTTCGCGCCTGTCTGGCGCTTCTTCAGAGGGGTATGGAGGGAGGAAGCAGACTACGGTGTGAGAGGGTGGCTTATATAAGGAGAATACTCTCTCCGTCTAATCAGCCACCCTCTCACTGCCGGTTGGCCCACAGCTGCGGGGCCGCCCAGGTGGAGTTTGGGCCTATGGGAGAGGGAAGTTTGGGGAGGGCAAAAAAAGGCTATAGGTGGAAAGAAAAGGGGGAGGAGTCAAGATGGGGGTACAGTATGTGGATTGGAGGAGCGACACAGGTTAAAGGTGAACTTTGTATGTGAGTGATCCTGAATGGTGCCCCCAGAGGAACATACAGGTTTGTGTTAGACTGTTCCCCCCAGTGAGCTATGCAATTGCATTTGAATATGATCAATAAGGGTTATTATAAGGAGGAGAGCGGAGGGAAGGACTACTTCCCGAGCTGCACCTGTGGAGGAAAATAATAAAATAAAAATAAATAAAGAAATTAGAACTCCTTGTTTAGGGTTAGGATATATATGACTGTATAGGGATGAAGGAATTAATATTCAGGGGTCCAAATGGTTAGGGTTAGGATAAGCCAAGGTAGGGGTTATAATCCTAATAACTGAAATAGGTTAAGATAATTAAGCTGATAGTGAAGAAGGTACTGATTGACTTTGGGAAAGTGTATCTAAGCAGAAGGTCATGGAATGATGGTCAGGTGGAGTTGGGATGGACAAAAGAAAATGAGATAATAAAACACTAAGGGAAAAAGAAAACATGATGATGGAAATAGATAGGTAATCTTCAAATTAAATAATAAGAGATATGATTATATCTAATATGTGTACATAAATGATACAATAAAAAGAAAATAACCAAACTAGGTGTAAACAGAGCAGACGGAGAAGCACGAGAGACCACACACCCCCGGCTCTGGCAAGGTTAGGTTCGGAGTGAGTGAAGTTTGAAGCCCAGATGGGGCTCTGGTGCACTGGCCTGGGGGCGTGCGGTCCGTCGTGCTGACCCCGCCTCCCTGGAAATGAAATACAACTTATGTAGAACCAAAATTAAACAAATGACACTCATTGTGTTATGGAGGTATAACGGAATGAATAAAAACAACAGAAGAGAACAATAACCAAAATATAAATGGTGTTCATACTGTGTTTTAAAGCCAACACAGGTGCAGCTCAGGAGGAATGCATAAAATATGGCAATGAGTCTCAATTCATGATTAGTGACAGTTAAATGATAGAGACAGCCAAAAAAATTGCATTTTAAAAGGAAACCAGACTAGAAAATCATAAAACACAGACAGACTTAAAGCAGAAACAATAAACTTGTATTGAGGTTTGATAAAGTTTTAATTAAATATGATGTTCCATAATATGTTCTTTATTTTCAGGTCTGGTGTGCTGATCCGGAGGTTTGTAGAATACAAGACGAGTTCCCTCCGCTCTCCTCCTATCTTAGGGATTCAAGTGAGGTAAGTTGTTGTTATTTTGAATTTTGTTGGTGGGATTGTGGTTAATTATTGTGGTAGTAGTATACCATCGAATTCGGCCTTCCCAGTGTTGTTAGAAAATGTGTAAGGTTTTTACTTAGTGTTATGGTTTATGGTGCCGAGGTAAGTATGTGTCGATGTATATTTAACCTTAATAAAGTGTGTGTATAATGTGTTGTGAATTAACTTTGTTTTTATTATGTGTGTGCTCCTATACCGATAGTGATATGTCTGTTATGGGTGCATTTGGGAAGGCCGAGTGAGCTTTTTTTGACCATGAATCTGAGTTGCAGAATTTTCTCAGATTTCCCGGAACTGATGGGGGGAGGTGCCCGTCAAGCTGCTGGCCCGGGTGCCAGCCCCGCAGCTTGTTGCTGTCAGGGGGACGGTGGCAGACCGGGTCAGAGGCTGCAGCGGGGCCCGCGCCCCTAACGGGAGGATCGCCCGGCTCGGCGCGCGCTCCCGATCGCTGTATAAGAGACTGTGAGGGGAAATCAGAGTTAGAATGTGGGTCTGTCATGTTGACTTTGTGACCTTGTTTTCTCATCATTTTAATTCCCTGGTTTTTCACAGACTCTCTAGCTATGTATGGAGCCGCCACCGAGCCAGCAAGAGCGCCCTCCCGGTTCTGATGGACCGGGGGCGCGGGCACCAAGATGTTATATTGGCCATCCGCCTCCACCTCCGAGCCCAGGTCTGCCACAGAGCAGGTGGAAATTTCACTGCTGCTGCGGGGCTGGAGGTCCTGTTTTGGTTTATTGTTATTTTGAGGAAATGTGATGTTAACCCCAGGCCAGCAGCCATCTATGGGAGCAGTCAGCGTCCTCTGGGGGCAGCGCCTGTGGGGAGAGGTGGGGAATGAGGAGCTCCCCGTGGCCAGAGTTGTGTGTGCAGACTGTAAAGGAAAACGGTTAGGTGGGGATGAAGAGGGGTTAGACTCAGGTAAATGAAGGTAGGTGGAAAAACCCTCTTCTGAGTTGGGGGAAAGGAGAGGAGAAGGAGAAGGAGGGGGGGGGCAGGAAGCGGAGGCTGAAGGAAAAAGCAGGTTGTAAGTTTCGGGGATTGTGTAATCTTGTAATCTGTCCCCATAGCGTCTTTTGGCCCAATTAGTGGCTGCTGTGAACGCTAGCTTATTTCCTGGAGTGCTGGTGAGGTGTGTTATGATGTTTGAGTAGTGTTTTAATAAAATTTCCATATTGTTTCTCATCCAGATGTCTGTGTTGTCTTCTATCATTTTTGAGGTTTCTAATGTGGGTGAAGATGGTTTAATGAATGCAGCTGTTTTGTCTGTTATGTGCATCATACCCCATGGAAATTCACCCGCTGAATGTGCCTGTTCTATGTTGTCCTTGTGATGTACAGCCTGAATGAGCTTGAAGTGTTGTTTTGCAAGTGATCTGGTGACGGTGTCTAATGCTTGTCTGGGTGGCCTGTGTGTGTTGTTGTTTGTACCGTGTGTGTTTCTGGGTCCGCTACCTGCCCCGTGTTGTGCAGCTGTGGGTCTGTCTGCTCCCCCCGACCACGCCCATGTCGGGGCCCGCCGACCCTCACCAAGTTGACACCCGAGTGTGTGGCACCCACCTGTGTTGGTCCTGCTCCGTGTTGCGGCTGCGGTCTCCGTTGCTCCTCGTGGCGATCAGCGTGTGTGAGTTTCCTGGAAAACATGACTCAGCAAAAAAGAGGAGCCGACGGAGACGGAGGAGGGAGAGTGCGCTCCGGCAGGTGGGTGGTGGCTCGGGTGTAACGTTAAAACTTAACTTTTAATAATTTAAATTTAAAAAGTCCAAATAGGGTTGGTGAATTTAATTAAATAAAGCTAGTTAAAAGGTTGAGGTCGGCGAGCGATCCGACAGAGCGGGTACCCCTGACGTTTCGCGCCTGTCTGGCGCTTCTTCAGAGGGGTATGGAGGGAGGAAGCAGGCTACGGTGTGAGAGGGTGGCTTATATAAGGAGAATACTCTCTCCGTCTAATCAGCCACCCTCTCACTGCCGGTTGGCCCACAGCTGCGGGGCCGCCCAGGTGGAGTTTGGGCCTATGGGAGAGGGAAGTGTGGGGAAGGCAAAAAAAGGCTATAGGTGGAAAGAAAAGGGGGAGGAGTCAAGATGGGGGTACAGTATGTGGATTGGAGGAGCGACACAGGTTAAAGGTGAACTTTGTATGTGAGTGATCCTGAATGGTGCCCCCAGAGGAACATACAGGTTTGTGTTAGACTGTTCCCCCCAGTGAGCTATGCAATTGCATTTGAATATGATCAATAAGGGTTATTATAAGGAGGAGAGCGGAGGGAAGGACTACTTCCCGAGCTGCACCTGTGGAGGAAAATAATATAATAAAAATAAATAAAGAAATAAGAGCTCCTTGTTTAGGGTTAGGATATATGTGACTTAATAGGGATGAAGGAATTAATATTCAGGGGTCCAGAATGGTTAGGGTTAGGATAAGCCAAGGTAGGGGTTATAATCCTAATAACTGGAATAGGTGAAGATGATTAAGCTGTTAGTGGAGATGGTGCTGATTGACTTTGGAAAAGTGTATCTATGCAGAAGGTCATGGAATGATGGTCAGGTGGAGTTGAGATGGACAAATGAAAATAAGATAATAAAATACTAAGGGAAAAAGAAATCTGATAATGGAAATAGAGGATAAATAATCTTCAAATTAAATAATAAGAGATATGATTATATCTAATATGTGTAAATAATAGAAAAAGAAATAACCAAACTAGGTGTAAACAGAGCAGACGGAGAAGCAAGAGAGACCACACACCCCCGGCTCTGGCAAGGTTAGGTTCGGAGTGGGTGAAGTTTGAAGCCCAGATAGGGCTCTGGTGCACTGGCCTGGGGGCGTGCGGTCCGTCGTACTGACCCCGCCTCCCTGGAAATGAAATACAACTTGTGTAGAAACAAAATTAAGCAAATGACACTACTTGTGTTGTGGAGGTAAAAGCGGAATGAATAAAACAACAGAAAAGAACAATAACCAAAAGTATAAATTGGTGTTCAGCCTGTGTTCTAAAGCCAACACAGGTGCAGCTCAGGAGGAATGCATAAAATATGGCAATGAGTCTCAATTCATGGTTAGTGACAGTTAAATAATAGAGACAGCCAAAAAAATTGCATTTTAAAAGGAAACCAGACTAGAAAATCATAAAACACAGACAGACTTAAAGCAGAAACAATAAACTTGTATTGAGGTTTGATAAAGTTTTAATTAAATATGATGTTCCATAATATGTTCTTTATTTTCAGGTCTGGTGTGCTGATCCGGAGGTTTGTAGAATACAAGACGAGTTCCCTCCGCTCTCCTCCTATCTTAGGGATTCAAGTGAGGTAAGTTGTTGTTATTTTGAATTTTGTTGGTGGAATTGTGGTTAATTATTGTGGTAGTAGTATACCATCGAATTCGGCCTTCCCAGTGTTGTTAGAAATGTGTAAGGTTTTTACTTAGTGTTATGGTTTATGGTGCCGAGGGAAGTATGTGTCGATGTATATTTAACCTTAATAAAGTGTGTGTATAATGTGTTGTGAATTAACTTTATGTTTTTATTATGTGTGTGCTCCTATACCGATAGTGATATGTCTGTTATGGGTGCATTTGGGAAGGCCGAGTGAGCTTTTTTTGACCATGAATCTGAGTTGCAGAATTTTCTCAGATTTCCCGGAACTGATGGGGGGAGGTGCCCGTCAAGCTGCTGGCCCGGGTGCCAACCCCGCAGCTTGTTGCTGTCAGGGGGACGGTGGCAGACCGGGTCAGAGGCTGCAGCGGGGCCCGCGCCCCTAACGGGAGGATCGCCCGGCTCGGCGCGCGCTCCCGATCGCTGTATAAGAGACTGTGAGGGGAGATCAGAGTTAGAATGTGGGTCTGTCATGTTGACTTTGTGACCTTGTTTTCTCATCATTTTAATCCCCTGGTTTTTCACAGACTCTCTAGCTATGTATGGAGCCGCCACCGAGCCAGCGAGAGCGCCCTCCCGGTTCTGATGGACCGGGGGCGCGGGCACCAAGATGTTATATTGGCCATCCGCCTCCACCTCCGAGCCCAGGTCTGCCACAGAGCAGGTGGAAATTTCACTGCTGCTGCGGGGCTGGAGGTCCTGTTTTGGTTTATTGTTATTTTGAGGAAATGTGATGTTATCCCCAGGCCAGCAGCCATCTATGGGAGCAGTCAGCGTCCTCTGGGGGCAGCGCCTGTGGGGAGAGGTGGGGAATGAAGAGCTCCCCGTGGCCAGAGTTGTATGTGCAGACTGTAAAGGAAAACGGTTAGGTGGGGATGAAGAGGGGTTAGACTCAGGTAAATGAAGGTAGGTGGAAAAACCCTCATCTGAGTTGGAAAAAAGGAGAGGAGAAGGAGAAGAAGGGGGGGGCAGGAAGCGGAGGCTGCAGGAAAAAGCAGGTTGTAAGTTTCGGGGATTGTGTATTCTTGTAGTTTGTCCCCATAGCGTCTTTTTGCCCAATTAGTGGCTGCTGTGAACGCTAGCTTATTTCCTGGAGTGCTGGTGAGGTGTGTTATGATGTTTGTGTAGTGTTTTAATAAAATTTCCATATTGTTTTTCATCCAAATGTCTGTGTTTTCCTCTATCATTTTTGATGTTTCTAGTGTGGGTGAAGATGGTTTAATGAATGCAGCTGTTTTGTCTGTTATGTGCATCATGCCCCATGGAAATTCACCCGCTGAATGTGCCTGTTCTATGTTGTCCTTGTGATGTACAGCCTGAATGAGCTTGAAGTGTTGTTTTGCAATTGATCTGGTGACGGTGTCTAATGCTTGTCTGGGTGGCCTGTATGTGTTGTTGTTTGTACCGTGTGTGTTTCTGGGTCCGCTACCTGCCCCGTGTTGTGCAGCTGTGGGTCTGTCTGCTCCCCCCGACCACGCCCGTGTCGGGGCCCACCGACCCTCACCAAGTTAACACCCGAGTGTGTGGCACCCACCTGTATTGATCCTGCTCCGTGTTGCGGCTGCGGTCTCCGTTGCTCCTCGTGGCGATCAGCGTGTGTGAGTTTCCTGGAAAACATGACTCAGCAAAAAAAGAGGAGCCGACGGAGACGGAGGAGGGAGAATGCGCTCCGGCAGGTGGGTGGTGGCTCGGGTGTAACGTTAAAACTTAACTTTTAATAATTTAAATTTAAAAAGTCCAAATAGGGTTGGTGAATTTAATTAAATAAAGCTAGTTAAAAGGTTGAGGTCGGCGAGCGATCCGACAGAGCGGGTACCCCTGACGTTTCGCGCCTGTCTGGCGCTTCTTCAGAGGGGTATGGAGGGAGGAAGCAGGCTACGGTGTGAGAGGGTGGCTTATATAAGGAGAATACTCTCTCCGTCTAATCAGCCACCCTCTCACTGCCGGTTGGCCCACAGCTGCGGGGCCGCCCAGGTGGAGTTTGGGCCTATGGGAGAGGGAAGTTTGGGGAAGGCAAAAAAAGGCTATAGGTGGAAAGAAAAGGGGGAGGAGTCAAGATGGGGGTACAGTATGTGGATTGGAGGAGCGACACAGGTTAAAGGTGAACTTTGTATGTGAGTGATCCTGAATGGTGCCCCCAGAGGAACATACAGGTTTGTGCTAGACTGTTCCCCCCAGTGAGCTATGCAATTGCATTTGAATATGATCAATAAGGGTTGTTATAAGGAGGAGAGCGGAGGGAAGGACTACTTCCCGAGCTGCACCTGTGGAGGAAATTAATATAATAAAAATAAATAAAGTAAAGAAATAAAGCTCCTGGTTTAGGGTTAGGATATATGTGACTTAATAGGGATGAAAGAATTAATGTTCAGGGGTCCAGAATGGTTAGGGTTAGGATAAGCCAAGGTAGGGGTTATAATCCTAATAACTGGAATAGGTGAAATGATTAGTAGTCATCCTGTTAGTGGAGATGGTGCTGATTGACTTTGGAAAAGTGTATCTATGCAGAAGGTCATGGAATGATGGTCAGGTGGAGTTGAGATGGACAAATGAAAATAAGATAATAAAATACTAAGGGAAAAAGAAATCTGATAATGGAAATAGAGGATAAATAATCTTCAAATTAAATAATAAGAGATATGATTATATCTAATATGTGTAAATAAGGATATAATAGAAAAAGAAATAACCAAACTAGGTGTAAACAGAGCAGACGGAGAAGCAAGAGAGACCACACACCCCCGGCTCTGGCAAGGTTAGGTTCGGAGTGGGTGAAGTTTGAAGCCCAGATAGGGCTCTGGTGCACTGGCCTGGGGGCGTGCGGTCCGTCATACTGACCCCGCCTCCCTGGAAATGAAATACAACTTGTGTAGAAACAAAATTAAACAAATGACACTCATTGTGTTATGGAGGTATAACGGAATGAATAAAATAACAGAAGAGAACAACAACCAAAATTATAAGTTGGTGTTCATCCTGTGCTATAAAGCCAACACAGGTGCAGCTCAGGAGGAATGCATAGGATATGGCGATAAGTCTCAAAACATGGTAAGTGACGGTTAAGAGATAGAGACAGCCAAAGAATTGTATTTTAAAGGAAACCAGACTTGGAAAATCATACAACACAAATAGACTTAAAACAGAAACAATAAACTTGTATTGAGGTTTGATAAAGTTTTAATTAAATATGATGTTCCATAATATGTTCTTTATTTTCAGGTCTGGTGTGCTGGTCCGGGGGCTTGTAGAATACAAGACGGGTTCCCTCCGCTCTCCTCCTATCTTAAGGGTTCAGGTGAGGTAGGTTGTTGTTGTTTTGAATTTAGTTGGTGGGATTGTGGTTAATTATGGTGGTAGTAATATTCCATCGAATTCAGCCTTCCCAGTGTTGTTAGAAATGTGTAGGGTTTTTACTTAATGTTATGATTTATGATGTCGAGGTAGGTATGTGTCGATGTATATTTAACCTTAATAAATTGTGTGTATAATGTGTTGTGAATTAACTTTGTTTTTATTATGTGTGTGCTCCTATACCGATAGTGATATGTCTGTTATGGGTGCATTTGGGAAGGCCGAGTGAGCTTTTTTGACCATGAATCTGAGTTGCAGAATTTTCTCAGATTTCCCGGAACTGATGGGGGGAGGTGCCCGTCAAGCTGCTGGCCCGGGTGCCAGCCCCGCAGCTTGTTGCTGTCAGGGGGACGGTGGCAGACCGGGTCAGAGGCTGCAGCGGGGCCCGCGCCCCTAACGGGAGGATCGCCCGGCTCGGCGCGCGCTCCCGATCGCTGTATAAGAGACTGTGAGGGGAAATCAGAGTTAGAATGTGGGTCTGTCATGTTGACTTTGTGACCTTGTTTTCTCATCATTTTAATCCCCTGGTTTTTCACAGACTCTCTAGCTATGTATGGAGCCGCCACCGAGCCAGCGAGAGCGCCCTCCCGGTTCTGATGGACCGGGGGCGCGGGCACCAAGATGTTATATTGGCCATCCGCCTCCACCTCCGAGCCCAGGTCTGCCACAGAGCAGGTGGAAATTACGCTGCTGCTGCGGGGCTGGAGGTCCTGTTTTGGTTTATTGTTATTTTGAGGAAATGTGATGTTATCCCCAGGCCAGCAGCCATCTGCGGGAGCAGTCAGCGTCCTCTGGGGGCAGCGCCTGTGGGGAGAGGTGGGGAATGAGGAGCTCCCCGTGGCCAGAGTTGTGTGTGTAGACTGTAAAGAAAAACGGTTAGGTGGGGATGAAGAGGGGTTAGACTCAGGTGAGTGATGGGAGGTGGAAAAACCCTCATCTGAGTTGGAAAAAAGGAGAGGAGAAGGAGAAGAAGGGGGGGGGCAGGAAGCGGAGGCTGTAGGAAAAAGCAAGTTGTGAGTTTCGGGGATTGTGTATTCTTGTAATTTATCCCCATAGCGTCTTTTTGCCCAATTAGTGGCTGCTGTGAACGCTAGCTTATTTCCTGGAGTGCTGGTGAGGTGTGTTATGATGTTTGTGTAGTGTTTTAATAAAATTTCCATATTGTTTCTCATCCAGATGTCTGTGTTGTCTTCTATCATTTTTGAGGTTTCTAATGTGGGTGAAGATGGTTTAATGAATGCAGCTGTTTTGTCTGTTATGTGCATCATACCCCATGGAAATTCACCCGCTGAATGTGCCTGTTCTATATTGTCCTTGTGATGTACAGCCTGAATGAGCTTGAAGTGATGTTTTGCAAGTGATCTGGTGACGGTGTCTAATGCTTGTCTGGGTGGCCTGTGTGTGTTGTTGTTTGTACCGTGTGAGTTTCTGGGTCCGCTACCTGCCCCGTGTTGTGCAGCTGTGGGTCTGTCTGCTCCCCCCCGACCACGCCCGTGTCGGGGCCCACCGACCCTCACCAAGTTAACACCCGAGTGTGTGGCACCCACCTGTGATGGTCCTGCTCCGTGTTGCGGCTGCGGTCTCCGTTGCTCCTCGTGGCGATCAGCGTGTGTGAGTTTCCTGGAAAACATGACTCAGCAAAAAAGAGGAGCCGACGGAGACGGAGGAGGGAGAGTACGCTCCGGCAGGTGGGTGGTGGCTCGGGTGTAACGTTAAAACTTAACTTTTAATAATTTAAATTTAAAAAGTCCAAATAGGGTTGGTGAATTTAATTAAATAAAGCTAGTTAAAAGGTTGAGGTCGGCGAGCGATCCGACAGAGCGGGTACCCCTGACGTTTCGCGCCTGTCTGGCGCTTCTTCAGAGGGGTATGGAGGGAGGAAGCAGACTACGGTGTGAGAGGGTGGCTTATATAAGGAGAATACTCTCTCCGTCTAATCAGCCACCCTCTCACTGCCGGTTGGCCCACAGCTGCGGGGCCGCCCAGGTGGAGTTTGGGCCTATGGGAGAGGGAAGTTTGGGGAGGGCAAAAAAAGGCTATAGGTGGAAAGAAAAGGGGGAGGAGTCAAGATGGGGGTACAGTATGTGGATTGGAGGAGCGACACAGGTTAAAGGTGAACTTTGTATGTGAGTGATCCTGAATGGTGCCCCCAGAGGAACATACAGGTTTGTGTTAGACTGTTCCCCCCAGTGAGCTATGCAATTGCATTTGAATATGATCAATAAGGGTTATTATAAGGAGGAGAGCGGAGGGAAGGACTACTTCCCGAGCTGCACCTGTGGAGGAAAATAATAAAATAAAAATAAATAAAGAAATTAGAACTCCTTGTTTAGGGTTAGGATATATATGACTGTATAGGGATGAAGGAATTAATATTCAGGGGTCCAAATGGTTAGGGTTAGGATAAGCCAAGGTAGGGGTTATAATCCTAATAACTGAAATAGGTTAAGATAATTAAGCTGATAGTGAAGAAGGTACTGATTGACTTTGGGAAAGTGTATCTAAGCAGAAGGTCATGGAATGATGGTCAGGTGGAGTTGGGATGGACAAAAGAAAATGAGATAATAAAACACTAAGGGAAAAAGAAAACATGATGATGGAAATAGATAGGTAATCTTCAAATTAAATAATAAGAGATATGATTATATCTAATATGTGTACTAAATGATACAATAAGAAAAAAAGAAAATAACCAAAGTAGGTGTAAACAGAGCAGACGGAGAAGCACGAGAGACCACACACCCCCGGCTCTGGCAAGGTTAGGTTCGGAGTGAGTGAAGTTTGAAGCCCAGATGGGGCTCTGGTGCACTGGCCTGGGGGCGTGCGGTCCGTCGTGCTGACCCCGCCTCCCTGGAAATGAAATACAACTTATGTAGAACCAAAATTAAACAAATGACACTCATTGTGTTATGGAGGTATAACGGAATGAATAAAAACAACAGAAGAGAACAATAACCAAAATATAAATGGTGTTCATACTGTGTTTTAAAGCCAACACAGGTGCAGCTCAGGAGGAATGCATAAAATATGGCAATGAGTCTCAATTCATGGTTAGTGACAGTTAAATGATAGAGACAGCCAAAAAAATTGCATTTTAAAAGGAAACCAGACTAGAAAATCATAAAACACAGACAGACTTAAAGCAGAAACAATAAACTTGTATTGAGGTTTGATAAAGTTTTAATTAAATATGATGTTCCATAATATGTTCTTTATTTTCAGGTCTGGTGTGCTGATCCGGAGGTTTGTAGAATACAAGACGAGTTCCCTCCGCTCTCCTCCTATCTTAGGGATTCAAGTGAGGTAAGTTGTTGTTATTTTGAATTTTGTTGGTGGAATTGTGGTTAATTATTGTGGTAGTAGTATACCATCGAATTCGGCCTTCCCAGTGTTGTTAGAAATGTGTAAGGTTTTTACTTAGTGTTATGGTTTATGGTGCCGAGGGAAGTATGTGTCGATGTATATTTAACCTTAATAAAGTGTGTGTATAATGTGTTGTGAATTAACTTTGTTTTTATTATGTGTGTGCTCCTATACCGATAGTGATATGTCTGTTATGGGTGCATTTGGGAAGGCCGAGTGAGCTTTTTTGACCATGAATCTGAGTTGCAGAATTTTCTCAGATTTCCCGGAACTGATGGGGGGAGGTGCCCGTCAAGCTGCTGGCCCGGGTGCCAACCCCGCAGCTTGTTGCTGTCAGGGGGACGGTGGCAGACCGGGTCAGAGGCTGCAGCGGGGCCCGCGCCCCTAACGGGAGGATCGCCCGGCTCGGCGCGCGCTCCCGATCGCTGTATAAGAGACTGTGAGGGGAAATCAGAGTTAGAATGTGGGTCTGTCATGTTGACTTTGTGACCTTGTTTTCTCATCATTTTAATCCCCTGGTTTTTCACAGACTCTCTAGCTATGTATGGAGCCGCCACCGAGCCAGCGAGAGCGCCCTCCCGGTTCTGATGGACCGGGGGCGCGGGCACCAAGATGTTATATTGGCCATCCGCCTCCACCTCCGAGCCCAGGTCTGCCACAGAGCAGGTGGAAATTTCACTGCTGCTGCGGGGCTGGAGGTCCTGTTTTGGTTTATTGTTATTTTGAGGAAATGTGATGTTATCCCCAGGCCAGCAGCCATCTATGGGAGCAGTCAGCGTCCTCTGGGGGCAGCGCCTGTGGGGAGAGGTGGGGAATGAGGAGCTCCCCGTGGCCAGAGTTGTGTGTGCAGACTGTAAAGGAAAACGGTTAGGTGGGGATGAAGAGGGGTTAGACTCAGGTGAATGATGGGAGGTGGAAAAACCCTCATCTGAGTTGGAAAAAAGGAGAGGAGAAGGAGGGGGGGGGCAGGAAGCGGAGGCTGCAGGAAAAAGCAGGTTGTAAGTTTCGGGGATTGTGTATTCTTGTAATCTGTCCCCATAGCGTCTTTTGGCCCAATTAGTGGCTGCTGTGAACGCTAGCTTATTTCCTGGAGTGCTGGTGAGGTGTGTTATGATGTTTGAGTAGTGTTTTAATAAAATTTCCATATTGTTTCTCATCCAGATGTCTGTGTTGTCTTCTATCATTTTTGAGGTTTCTAATGTGGGTGAAGATGGTTTAATGAATGCAGCTGTTTTGTCTGTTATGTGCATCATACCCCATGGAAATTCACCCGCTGAATGTGCCTGTTCTATATTGTCCTTGTGATGTACAGCCTGAATGAGCTTGAAGTGATGTTTTGCAAGTGATCTGGTGACGGTGTCTAATGCTTGTCTGGGTGGCCTGTGTGTGTTGTTGTTTGTACCGTGTGGGTTTCTGGGTCCGCTACCTGCCCCGTGCTGTGCAGCTGTGGGTCTGTCTGCTCCCCCCGACCACGCCCGTGTCGGGGCCCACCGACCCTCACCAAGTTAACACCCGAGTGTGTGGCACCCACCTGTGATGGTCCTGCTCCGTGTTGCGGCTGCGGTCTCCGTTGCTCCTCGTGGCGATCAGCGTGTGTGAGTTTCCTGGAAAACATGACTCAGCAAAAAAGAGGAGCCGACGGAGACGGAGGAGGGAGAGTACGCTCCGGCAGGTGGGTGGTGGCTCGGGTGTAACGTTAAAACTTAACTTTTAATAATTTAAATTTAAAAAGTCCAAATAGGGTTGGTGAATTTAATTAAATAAAGCTAGTTAAAAGGTTGAAGTCGGCGAGCGATCCGACAGAGCGGGTACCCCTGACGTTTCGCGCCTGTCTGGCGCTTCTTCAGAGGGGTATGGAGGGAGGAAGCAGACTACGGTGTGAGAGGGTGGCTTATATAAGGAGAATACTCTCTCCGTCTAATCAGCCACCCTCTCACTGCCGGTTGGCCCACAGCTGCGGGGCCGCCCAGGTGGAGTTTGGGCCTATGGGAGAGGGAAGTTTGGGGAGGGCAAAAAAAGGCTATAGGTGGAAAGAAAAGGGGGGAGGAGTCAAGATGGGGGTACAGTATGTGGATTGGAGGAGCGACACAGGTTAAAGGTGAACTTTGTATGTGAGTGATCCTGAATGGTGCCCCCAGAGGAACATACAGGTTTGTGTTAGACTGTTCCCCCCAGTGAGCTATGCAATTGCATTTGAATATGATCAATAAGGGTTATTATAAGGAGGAGAGCGGAGGGAAGGACTACTTCCCGAGCTGCACCTGTGGAGGAAAATAATAAAATAAAAATAAATAAAGAAATTAGAACTCCTTGTTTAGGGTTAGGATATATATGACTGTATAGGGATGAAGGAATTAATATTCAGGGGTCCAAATGGTTAGGGTTAGGATAAGCCAAGGTAGGGGTTATAATCCTAATAACTGAAATAGGTTAAGATAATTAAGCTGATAGTGAAGAAGGTACTGATTGACTTTGGGAAAGTGTATCTAAGCAGAAGGTCATGGAATGATGGTCAGGTGGAGTTGGGATGGACAAAAGAAAATGAGATAATAAAACACTAAGGGAAAAAGGAAAACATGATGATGGAAATAGAGGATAGATAATCTTCAAATTAAATAATAAGAGATATGATTATATCTAATATGTGTACATAAATGATACAATAAAAAGAAAATAACCAAAGTAGGTGTAAACAGAGCAGACGGAGAAGCACGAGAGACCACACACCCCCGGCTCTGGCAAGGTTAGGTTCGGAGTGAGTGAAGTTTGAAGCCCAGATGGGGCTCTGGTGCACTGGCCTGGGGGCGTGCGGTCCGTCGTGCTGACCCCGCCTCCCTGGAAATGAAATACAACTTGTGTAGAACCAAAATTAAACAAATGACACTCATTGTGTTATGGAGGTATAACGGAATGAATAAAAACAACAGAAGAGAACAATAACCAAAATATAAATGGTGTTCATACTGTGTTTTAAAGCCAACACAGGTGCAGCTCAGGAGGAATGCATAAAATATGGCAATGAGTCTCAATTCATGATTAGTGACAGTTAAATGATAGAGACAGCCAAATAATTGCATTTTAAAGGAATCCAGACTAGAAAATCATAAAACACAGACAGACATAAAGCAGAAACAATAAACTTGTATTGAAGGTTTATTAAAATTTTAATTAAATATGATGTTCCGTAATATGTTCTTTATTTTCAGGTCTGGTGTGCTGGTCCGGAGTCTTGTGGAATACAAGAAGGGTTTCCTCCGCTCTCCTCCTATCTTAGGGATTCAAGTGAGGTAAGTTGTTGTTATTTTGAATTTTGTTGGTGGAATTGTGGTTAATTATTGTGGTAGTAGTATACCATCGAATTCGGCCTTCCCAGTGTTGTTAGAAATGTGTAAGGTTTTTACTTAGTGTTATGGTTTATGGTGCCGAGGGAAGTATGTGTCGATGTATATTTAACCTTAATAAAGTGTGTGTATAATGTGTTGTGAATTAACTTTGTTTTTATTATGTGTGTGCTCCTATACCGATAGTGATATGTCTGTTATGGGTGCATTTGGGAAGGCCGAGTGAGCTTTTTTGACCATGAATCTGAGTTGCAGAATTTTCTCAGATTTCCCGGAACTGATGGGGGGAGGTGCCCGTCAAGCTGCTGGCCCGGGTGCCAACCCCGCAGCTTGTTGCTGTCAGGGGGACGGTGGCAGACCGGGTCAGAGGCTGCAGCGGGGCCCGCGCCCCTAACGGGAGGATCGCCCGGCTCGGCGCGCGCTCCCGATCGCTGTATAAGAGACTGTGAGGGGAAATCAGAGTTAGAATGTGGGTCTGTCATGTTGACTTTGTGACCTTGTTTTCTCATCATTTTAATCCCCTGGTTTTTCACAGACTCTCTAGCTATGTATGGAGCCGCCACCGAGCCAGCGAGAGCGCCCTCCCGGTTCTGATGGACCGGGGGCGCGGGCACCAAGATGTTATATTGGCCATCCGCCTCCACCTCCGAGCCCAGGTCTGCCACAGAGCAGGTGGAAATTTCACTGCTGCTGCGGGGCTGGAGGTCCTGTTTTGGTTTATTGTTATTTTGAGGAAATGTGATGTTATCCCCAGGCCAGCAGCCATCTATGGGAGCAGTCAGCGTCCTCTGGGGGCAGCGCCTGTGGGGAGAGGTGGGGAATGAGGAGCTCCCCGTGGCCAGAGTTGTGTGTGCAGACTGTAAAGGAAAACGGTTAGGTGGGGATGAAGAGGGGTTAGACTCAGGTAAATGAAGGGAGGTGGAAAAACCCTCATCTGAGTTGGAAAAAAGGAGAGGAGAAGGAGGGGGGGGGCAGGAAGCGGAGGCTGCAGGAAAAAGCAGGTTGTAAGTTTCGGGGATTGTGTAATCTTGTAATCTGTCCCCATAGCGTCTTTTGGCCCAATTAGTGGCTGCTGTGAACGCTAGCTTATTTCCTGGAGTGCTGGTGAGGTGTGTTATGATGTTTGTGTAGTGTTTTAATAAAATTTCCATATTGTTTCTCATCCAATTGTGTGTGTTTTCCTCTATCATTTTTGATGTTTCTAGTGTGGGTGAAGATGGTTTGATGAATGCAGCTGTTTTGTCTGTTATGTGCATCATGCCCCATGGAAATTCACCCGCTGAATGTGCCTGTTCTATGTTGTCCTTGTGATGTACAGCCTGAATAAGCTTGAAGTGTTGTTTTGCAATTAATCTGGTGACAGTATCTAATGCTTGTCTGGGTGGCCTGTGTGTGTTGTTGTTTGTACCGTGTGTGTTTCTGGGTCCGCTCCCTGCCCCGTGCTGTGCAGCTGTGGGTCTGTCTGCTCCCCCCCGACCACGCTCGTGTCGGGGCCCGCCGACCCTCACCAAGTTGACACCCGAGTGTGTGGCACCCACCTGTATTGGTCCTGCTCCGTGTTGCGGCTGCGGTCTCCGTTGCTCCTCGTGGCGATCAGCGTGTGTGAGTTTCCTGGAAAACATGACTCAGCAAAAAAGAGGAGCCGACGGAGACGGAGGAGGGAGAATGCGCTCCGGCAGGTGGGTGGTGACTCGGGTGTAACGTTAAAACTTAACTTTTAATAATTTAAATTTAAAAAGTCCAAGTAGGGTTTGTGACTTTAATTAAATAAAGCTAGTTAAAAGGTTGAAGTCGGCGAGCGTTCCGACAAAGCGGGTACCCCTGACGTTTCGCGCCTGTCTGGCGCTTCTTCAGAGGGGTATGGAGGGAGGAAGCAGGCTACGGTGTGAGAGGGTGGCTTATATAAGGAGAATGCTCTCTCCGTCTAATCAGCCACCCTCTCACTGCCGGTTGGCCCACAGCTGCGGGGCCGCCCAGGTGGAGTTTGGGCCTATGGGAGAGGGAAGTGTGGGGAGGGCAAAAGAGGCTATAGGTGAAAAGAAAAGGGGGAGGAGTCAAGGTGGGGGTACAGTATGTGGATTGGAGGAGCAACACAGGTTAAAGGTGAACTTTGTATGTGAGTGATCCTGAATGGTGCCCCCAGAGGAACATACAGGTTTGTGTTAGACTGTTCCCCCCAGTGAGCTATGCAATTGCATTTGAATATGATCAATAAGGGTTATTATAAGGAGGAGAGCGGAGGGAAGGACTACTTCCCGAGCTGCACCTGTGGAGGAAAATAATAAAATAAAAATAAATAAAGAAATTAGAACTCCTTGTTTAGGGTTAGGATATATATGACTGTATAGGGATGAAGGAATTAATATTCAGGGGTCCAAATGGTTAGGGTTAGGATAAGCCAAGGTAGGGGTTATAATCCTAATAACTGAAATAGGTTAAGATAATTAAGCTGATAGTGAAGAAGGTACTGATTGACTTTGGGAAAGTGTATCTAAGCAGAAGGTCATGGAATGATGGTCAGGTGGAGTTGGGATGGACAAAAGAAAATGAGATAATAAAACACTAAGGGAAAAAGAAAACATGATGATGGAAATAGAGGATAGGTAATCTTCAAATTAAATAATAAGAGATATGATTATATCTAATATGTGTACTAAATGATACAATAAGAAAAAAGAAAATAACCAAAGTAGGTGTAAACAGAGCAGACGGAGAAGCACGAGAGACCACACACCCCCGGCTCTGGCAAGGTTAGGTTCGGAGTGAGTGAAGTTTGAAGCCCAGATGGGGCTCTGGTGCACTGGCCTGGGGGCGTGCGGTCCGTCGTGCTGACCCCGCCTCCCTGGAAATGAAATACAACTTATGTAGAACCAAAATTAAACAAATGACACTCATTGTGTTATGGAGGTATAACGGAATGAATAAAAACAACAGAAGAGAACAATAACCAAAATATAAATGGTGTTCATACTGTGTTCTAAAGCCAACACAGGTGCAGCTCAGGAGGAATGCATAAAATATGGCAATGAGTCTCAATTCATGATTAGTGACAGTTAAATGATAGAGACAGCCAAAAAAATTGCATTTTAAAAGGAAACCAGACTAGAAAATCATACAACACAAATAGACTTAAAACAGAAACAATAAACTTGTATTGAGGTTTGATAAAGTTTTAATTAAATATGATGTTCCATAATATGTTCTTTATTTTCAGGTCTGGTGTGCTGATCCGGAGGTTTGTAGAATACAAGACGAGTTCCCTCCGCTCTCCTCCTATCTTAGGGATTCAAGTGAGGTAAGTTGTTGTTATTTTGAATTTTGTTGGTGGAATTGTGGTTAATTATTGTGGTAGTAGTATACCATCGAATTCGGCCTTCCCAGTGTTGTTAGAAATGTGTAAGGTTTTTACTTAGTGTTATGGTTTATGGTGCCGAGGGAAGTATGTGTCGATGTATATTTAACCTTAATAAAGTGTGTGTATAATGTGTTGTGAATTAACTTTGTTTTTATTATGTGTGTGCTCCTATACCGATAGTGATATGTCTGTTATGGGTGCATTTGGGAAGGCCGAGTGAGCTTTTTTGACCATGAATCTGAGTTGCAGAATTTTCTCAGATTTCCCGGAACTGATGGGGGGGAGGTGCCCGTCAAGCTGCTGGCCCGGGTGCCAGCCCCGCAGCTTGTTGCTGTCAGGGGGACGGTGGCAGACCGGGTCAGAGGCTGCAGCGGGGCCCGCGCCCCTAACGGGAGGATCGCCCGGCTCGGCGCGCGCTCCCGATCGCTGTATAAGAGACTGTGAGGGGAAATCAGAGTTAGAATGTGGGTCTGTCATGTTGACTTTGTGACCTTGTTTTCTCATCATTTTAATCCCCTGGTTTTTCACAGACTCTCTAGCTATGTATGGAGCCGCCACCGAGCCAGCGAGAGCGCCCTCCCGGTTCTGATGGACCGGGGGCGCGGGCACCAAGATGTTATATTGGCCATCCGCCTCCACCTCCGAGCCCAGGTCTGCCACAGAGCAGGTGGAAATTTCACTGCTGCTGCGGGGCTGGAGGTCCTGTTTTGGTTTATTGTTATTTTGAGGAAATGTGATGTTATCCCCAGGCCAGCAGCCATCTATGGGAGCAGTCAGCGTCCTCTGGGGGCAGCGCCTGTGGGGAGAGGTGGGGAATGAGGAGCTCCCCGTGGCCAGAGTTGTGTGTGCAGACTGTAAAGGAAAACGGTTAGGTGGGGATGAAGAGGGGTTAGACTCAGGTGAGTGATGGGAGGTGGAAAAACCCTCTTCTGAGTTGGGGGAAAGGAGAGGAGAAGGAGAAGGAGGGGGGGGGGGGGAAGCGGAGGCTGAAGGAAAAAGCAGGTTGTAAGTTTCGGGGATTGTGTAATCTTGTAATCTGTCCCCATAGCGTCTTTTGGCCCAATTAGTGGCTGCTGTGAACGCTAGCTTATTTCCTGGAGTGCTGGTGAGGTGTGTTATGATGTTTGCGTAGTGTTTTAATAAAATTTCCATATTGTTTCTCATCCAGATGTCTGTGTTGTCTTCTATCATTTTTGAGGTTTCTAATGTGGGTGAAGATGGTTTAATGAATGCAGCTGTTTTGTCTGTTATGTGCATCATACCCCATGGAAATTCACCCGCTGAATGTGCCTGTTCTATATTGTCCTTGTGATGTACAGCCTGAATGAGCTTGAAGTGATGTTTTGCAAGTGATCTGGTGACGGTGTCTAATGCTTGTCTGGGTGGCCTGTGTGTGTTGTTGTTTGTACCGTGTGTGTTTCTGGGTCCGCTACCTGCCCCGTGTTGTGCAGCTGTGGGTCTGTCTGCTCCCCCCGACCACGCCCGTGTCGGGGCCCACCGACCCTCACCAAGTTAACACCCGAGTGTGTGGCACCCACCTGTGATGGTCCTGCTCCGTGTTGCGGCTGCGGTCTCCGTTGCTCCTCGTGGCGATCAGCGTGTGTGAGTTTCCTGGAAAACATGACTCAGCAAAAAAGAGGAGCCGACGGAGACGGAGGAGGGAGAGTGCGCTCCGGCAGGTGGGTGGTGGCTCGGGTGTAACGTTAAAACTTAACTTTTAATAATTTAAATTTAAAAAGTCCAAATAGGGTTGGTGAATTTAATTAAATAAAGCTAGTTAAAAGGTTGAGGTCGGCGAGCGATCCGACAGAGCGGGTACCCCTGACGTTTCGCGCCTGTCTGGCGCTTCTTCAGAGGGGTATGGAGGGAGGAAGCAGACTACGGTGTGAGAGGGTGGCTTATATAAGGAGAATACTCTCTCCGTCTAATCAGCCACCCTCTCACTGCCGGTTGGCCCACAGCTGCGGGGCCGCCCAGGTGGAGTTTGGGCCTATGGGAGAGGGAAGTTTGGGGAAGGCAAAAAAAGGCTATAGGTGGAAAGAAAAGGGGGAGGAGTCAAGATGGGGGTACAGTATGTGGATTGGAGGAGCGACACAGGTTAAAGGTGAACTTTGTATGTGAGTGATCCTGAATGGTGCCCCCAGAGGAACATACAGGTTTGTGTTAGACTGTTCCCCCCAGTGAGCTATGCAATTGCATTTGAATATGATCAATAAGGGTTATTATAAGGAGGAGAGCGGAGGGAAGGACTACTTCCCGAGCTGCACCTGTGGAGGAAAATAATAAAATAAAAATAAATAAAGAAATTAGAACTCCTTGTTTAGGGTTAGGATATATATGACTGTATAGGGATGAAGGAATTAATATTCAGGGGTCCAAATGGTTAGGGTTAGGATAAGCCAAGGTAGGGGTTATAATCCTAATAACTGAAATAGGTTAAGATAATTAAGCTGATAGTGAAGAAGGTACTGATTGACTTTGGGAAAGTGTATCTAAGCAGAAGGTCATGGAATGATGGTCAGGTGGAGTTGGGATGGACAAAAGAAAATGAGATAATAAAACACTAAGGGAAAAAGAAAACATGATGATGGAAATAGATAGGTAATCTTCAAATTAAATAATAAGAGATATGATTATATCTAATATGTGTACTAAATGATACAATAAGAAAAAAGAAAATAACCAAACTAGGTGTAAACAGAGCAGACGGAGAAGCAAGAGAGACCACACACCCCCGGCTCTGGCAAGGTTAGGTTCGGAGTGAGTGAAGTTTGAAGCCCAGATGGGGCTCTGGTGCACTGGCCTGGGGGCGTGCGGTCCGTCGTACTGACCCCGCCTCCCTGGAAATGAAATACAACTTGTGTAGAACCAAAATTAAACAAATGACACTCATTGTGTTATGGAGGTATAACGGAATGAATAAAAACAACAGAAAAGAACAATAACCAAAATATAAATGGTGTTCATACTGTGTTTTAAAGCCAACACAGGTGCAGCTCAGGAGGAATGCATAAAATATGGCAATGAGTCTCAATTCATGGTTAGTGACAGTTAAATAATAGAGACAGCCAAAAAATTGCATTTTAAAAGGAAACCAGACTAGAAAATCATAAAACACAGACAGACTTAAAGCAGAAACAATAAACTTGTATTGAGGTTTGATAAAGTTTTAATTAAATATGATGTTCCATAATATGTTCTTTATTTTCAGGTCTGGTGTGCTGATCCGGAGGTTTGTAGAATACAAGACGAGTTCCCTCCGCTCTCCTCCTATCTTAGGGATTCAAGTGAGGTAAGTTGTTGTTATTTTGAATTTTGTTGGTGGGATTGTGGTTAATTATTGTGGTAGTAGTATACCATCGAATTCGGCCTTCCCAGTGTTGTTAGAAAATGTGTAAGGTTTTTACTTAGTGTTATGGTTTATGGTGCCGAGGTAAGTATGTGTCGATGTATATTTAACCTTAATAAAGTGTGTGTATTATGTGTTGTGAATTAACTTTATGTTTTTATTATGTGTGTGCTCCTGTACCGATAGTGATATGTCTGTTATGGGTGCATTTGGGAAGGCCGAGTGAGCTTTTTTGGCCATGAATCTGAGTTGCAGAATTTTCTCAGATTTCCCGGAACTGATGGGGGGAGGTGCCCGTCAAGCTGCTGGCCCGGGTGCCAGCCCCGCAGCTTGTTGCTGTCAGGGGGACGGTGGCAGACCGGGTCAGAGGCTGCAGCGGGGCCCGCGCCCCTAACGGGAGGATCGCCCGGCTCGGCGCGCGCTCCCGATCGCTGTATAAGAGACTGTGAGGGGAAATCAGAGTTAGAATGTGGGTCTGTCATGTTGACTTTGTGACCTTGTTTTCTCATCATTTTAATTCCCTGGTTTTTCACAGACTCTCTAGCTATGTATGGAGCCGCCACCGAGCCAGCGAGAGCGCCCTCCCGGTTCTGATGGACCGGGGGCGCGGGCACCAAGATGTTATATTGGCCATCCGCCTCCACCTCCGAGCCCAGGTCTGCCACAGAGCAGGTGGAAATTTCACTGCTGCTGCGGGGCTGGAGGTCCTGTTTTGGTTTATTGTTATTTTGAGGAAATGTGATGTTATCCCCAGGCCAGCAGCCATCTGCGGGAGCAGTCAGCGTCCTCTGGGGGCAGCGCCTGTGGGGAGAGGTGGGGAATGAGGAGCTCCCCGTGGCCAGAGTTGTGTGTGCAGACTGTAAAGGAAAACGGTTAGGTGGGGATGAAGAGGGGTTAGACTCAGGTAAATGAAGGTAGGTGGAAAAACCCTCTTCTGAGTTGGGGGAAAGGAGAGGAGAAGGAGAAGGAGGGGGGGCAGGAAGCGGAGGCTGAAGGAAAAAGCAAGTTGTGAGTTTCGGGGATTGTGTATTCTTGTAATTTATCCCCATAGCGTCTTTTTGCCCAATTAGTGGCTGCTGTGAACGCTAGCTTATTTCCTGGAGTGCTGGTGAGGTGTGTTATGATGTTTGCGTAGTGTTTTAATAAAATTTCCATATTGTTTTTCATCCAAATGTGTGTGTTTTCCTCTATCATTTTTGATGTTTCTAGTGTGGGTGAAGATGGTTTGATGAATGCAGCTGTTTTGTCTGTTATGTGCATCATGCCCCATGGAAATTCACCCGCTGAATGTGCCTGTTCTATGTTGTCCTTGTGATGTACAGCCTGAATGAGCTTGAAGTGTTGTTTTGCAAGTGATCTGGTGACGGTGTCTAATGCTTGTCTGGGTGGCCTGTGTGTGTTGTTGTTTGTACCGTGTGAGTTTCTGGGTCCGCTACCTGCCCCGTGTTGTGCAGCTGTGGGTCTGTCTGCTCCCCCCGACCACGCCCGTGTCGGGGCCCACCGACCCTCACCAAGTTAACACCCGAGTGTGTGGCACCCACCTGTGATGGTCCTGCTCCGTGTTGCGGCTGCGGTCTCCGTTGCTCCTCGTGGCGATCAGCGTGTGTGAGTTTCCTGGAAAACATGACTCAGCAAAAAAGAGGAGCCGACGGAGACGGAGGAGGGAGAGTGCGCTCCGGCAGGTGGGTGGTGGCTCGGGTGTAACGTTAAAACTTAACTTTTAATAATTTAAATTTAAAAAGTCCAAATAGGGTTGGTGAATTTAATTAAATAAAGCTAGTTAAAAGGTTGAGGTCGGCGAGCGATCCGACAGAGCGGGTACCCCTGACGTTTCGCGCCTGTCTGGCGCTTCTTCAGAGGGGTATGGAGGGAGGAAGCAGGCTACGGTGTGAGAGGGTGGCTTATATAAGGAGAATACTCTCTCCGTCTAATCAGCCACCCTCTCACTGCCGGTTGGCCCACAGCTGCGGGGCCGCCCAGGTGGAGTTTGGGCCTATGGGAGAGGGAAGTGTGGGGAGGGCAAAAAAGGCTATAGGTGAAAAGAAAAGGGGGAGGAGTCAAGGTGGGGGTACAGTATGTGGATTGGAGGAGCGACACAGGTTAAAGGTGAACTTTGTATGTGAGTGATCCTGAATGGTGCCCCCAGAGGAACATACAGGTTTGTGTTAGACTGTTCCCCCCAGTGAGCTATGCAATTGCATTAGAAATGATCAATAAGGGTTATTATAAGGAGGAGAGCGGAGGGAAGTACGGCCTCCCGAGCTACACCTGTGGAGGAAAATAATATAATAAAAATAAATAAAGAAATAAAACTCCTTGTTTAGGGTTAGGATATATGTGACTAATAGTGATGAAGGAATTATTATTCCAGGGTTCAATATGGTTAGGGTTAGGATAAGCCAAGGTAGGGGTTATAATCCTAATAACTGAGAAGGGTTAAAATAAATAATCTGATAGTGAAAATGGTAATGATTGACCTTGGGAGAGTGTATCTAAGCAGAAGGTCATAGAGTGATGGTCAGGTGGAGTTGGGATGAACAAATGAAATTGAGATAATAAAATACTAAGGGAGAAAGAAATCATGATGATGGAAATAGAGGATAGATAATCTTAAAATTAAATAATAAGAGATATGATTATATCTAATATGTGTAAATAAATGATACAATAAAAAGAAAATAACCAAACTAGGTGTAAACAGAGCAGACGGAGAAGCATGAGAGACCACACACCCCCGGCTCTGGCAAGGTTAGGTTCGGAGTGGGTGAAGTTTGAAGCCCAGATTGGGCTCTGGTGCACTGGCCTGGGGGCGTGCGGTCCGTCGTACTGACCCCGCCTCCCTGGAAATGAAATACAACTTGTGTAGAAACAAAATTAAGCAAATGACACTACTTGTGTTGTGGAGGTAAAAGCGGAATGAATAAAACAACAGAAAAGAACAATAACCAAAATATAAATGGTGTTCATACTGTGTTTTAAAGCCAACACAGGTGCAGCTCAGGAGGAATGCATAAAATATGGCAATGAGTCTCAATTCATGATTAGTGACAGTTAAATGATAGAGACAGCCAAAAAAATTGCATTTTAAAAGGAAACCAGACTAGAAAATCATAAAACACAGACAGACTTAAAGCAGAAACAATAAACTTGTATTGAGGTTTGATAAAGTTTTAATTAAATATGATGTTCCATAATATGTTCTTTATTTTCAGGTCTGGTGTGCTGATCCGGAGGTTTGTAGAATACAAGACGAGTTCCCTCCGCTCTCCTCCTATCTTAGGGATTCAAGTGAGGTAAGTTGTTGTTATTTTGAATTTTGTTGGTGGGATTGTGGTTAATTATTGTGGTAGTAGTATACCATCGAATTCGGCCTTCCCAGTGTTGTTAGAAAATGTGTAAGGTTTTTACTTAGTGTTATGGTTTATGGTGCCGAGGGAAGTATGTGTCGATGTATATTTAACCTTAATAAAGTGTGTGTATAATGTGTTGTGAATTAACTTTGTTTTTATTATGTGTGTGCTCCTATACCGATAGTGATATGTCTGTTATGGGTGCATTTGGGAAGGCCGAGTGAGCTTTTTTGACCATGAATCTGAGTTGCAGAATTTTCTCAGATTTCCCAGAACTGATGGGGGGAGGTGCCCGTCAAGCTGCTGGCCCGGGTGCCAGCCCCGCAGCTTGTTGCTGTCAGGGGGACGGTGGCAGACCGGGTCAGAGGCTGCAGCGGGGCCCGCGCCCCTAACGGGAGGATCGCCCGGCTCGGCGCGCGCTCCCGATCGCTGTATAAGAGACTGTGAGGGGAAATCAGAGTTAGAATGTGGGTCTGTCATGTTGACTTTGTGACCTTGTTTTCTCATCATTTTAATTCCCTGGTTTTTCACAGACTCTCTAGCTATGTATGGAGCCGCCACCGAGCCAGCGAGAGCGCCCTCCCGGTTCTGATGGACCGGGGGCGCGGGCACCAAGATGTTATAATGGCCATCCGCCTCCACCTCCGAGCCCAGGTCTGCCACAGAGCAGGTGGAAATTACGCTGCTGCTGCGGGGCTGGAGGTCCTGTTTAGGTTTATTGTTATTTTGAGGAAATGTGATGTTATCCCCAGGCCAGCAGCCATCTGCGGGAGCAGTCAGCGTCCTCTGGGGGCAGCGCCTGTGGGGAGAGGTGGGGAATGAGGAGCTCCCCGTGGCCAGAGTTGTGTGTGCAGACTGTAAAGGAAAACGGTTAGGTGGGGATGAAGAGGGGTTAGACTCAGGTGAATGAAGGTAGGTGGAAAAACCCTCTTCTGAGTTGGGGGAAAGGAGAGGAGAAGGAGAAGAAGGGGGGGGCAGGAAGCGGAGGCTGTAGGAAAAAGCAAGTTGTGAGTTTCGGGGATTGTGTATTCTTGTAATTTATCCCCATAGCGTCTTTTTGCCCAGTTAGTGGCTGCTGTAAACGCTAGCTTATTTCCTGGAGTGCTGGTGAGGTGTGTTATGGTGTTTGTGTAGTGTTTTAATAAAATTTCCATATTGTTTCTCATCCAGATGTCTGTGTTGTCTTCTATCATTTTTGAGGTTTCTAATGTGGGTGAAGATGGTTTAATGAATGCAGCTGTTTTGTCTGTTATGTGCATCATACCCCATGGAAATTCACCCGCTGAATGTGCCTGTTCTATATTGTCCTTGTGATGTACAGCCTGAATGAGCTTGAAGTGATGTTTTGCAAGTGATCTGGTGACGGTGTCTAATGCTTGTCTGGGTGGCCTGTGTGTGTTGTTGTTTGTACCGTGTGTGTTTCTGGGTCCGCTACCTGCCCCGTGCTGTGCAGCTGTGGGTCTGTCTGCTCCCCCCCGACCACGCCCGTGTCGGGGCCCACCGACCCTCACCAAGTTAAAACCCGAGTGTGTGGCACCCACCTGTGATGGTCCTGCTCCGTGTTGCGGCTGCGGTCTCCGTTGCTCCTCGTGGCGATCAGCGTGTGTGAGTTTCCTGGAAAACATGACTCAGCAAAAAAAGAGGAGCCGACGGAGACGGAGGAGGGAGAATGCGCTCCGGCAGGTGGGTGGTGGCTCGGGTGTAACGTTAAAACTTAACTTTTAATAATTTAAATTTAAAAAGTCCAAGTAGGGTTGGTGAATTTAATTAAATAAAGCTAGTTAAAAGGTTGAAGTCGGCGAGCGATCCGACAGAGCGGGTACCCCTGACGTTTCGCGCCGATCTGGCGCTTCTTCAGAGGGGTATAGAGGGAGGAAGCAGGCTACGGTGTGAGAGGGTGGCTTATATAAGGAGAATGCTCTCTCCGTCTAATCAGCCACCCTCTCACTGCCGGTTGGCCCACAGCTGCGGGGCCGCCCAGGTGGAGTTTGGGCCTATGGGAGAGGGAAGTTTGGGGAGGGCAAAAAAAGGCTATAGGTGGAAAGAAAAGGGGGAGGAGTCAAGATGGGGGTACAGTATGTGGATTGGAGGAGCGACACAGGTTAAAGGTGAACTTTGTATGTGAGTGATCCTGAATGGTGCCCCCAGAGGAACATACAGGTTTGTGTTAGACTGTTCCCCCCAGTGAGCTATGCAATTGCATTTGAATATGATCAATAAGGGTTATTATAAGGAGGAGAGCGGAGGGAAGGACTACTTCCCGAGCTGCACCTGTGGAGGAAAATAATATAATAAAAATAAATAAAGTAAAGAAATAAAGCTCCTGGTTTAGGGTTAGGATATATGTGACTTAATAGGGATGAAAGAATTAATGTTCAGGGGTCCAGAATGGTTAGGGTTAGGATAAGCCAAGGTAGGGGTTATAATCCTAATAACTGGAATAGGTTAAGATAATTAAGCTGATAGTGAAGATGGTACTGATTGACTTTGGGAAAGTGTATCTAAGCAGAAGGTCATGGAATGATGGTCAGGGGGAGTAGGGAAGGACAAAAGAAAATGAGATAATAAAACACTAAGGGAAAAAGGAAAACATGATGATGGAAATAGAGGATAGGTAATCTTCAAATTAAATAATAAGAGATATGATTATATCTAATATGTGTAAATAAATGATACAATAAAAAGAAAATAAACAAATTAGGTATACACAGAGCAGACGGAGAAGCAAGAGAGACCACACACCCCCGGCTCTGGCAAGGTTAGGTTCGGAATGAGTGAAGTTTGAAGCCCAGATAGGGCTCTGGTGCACTGGCCTGGGGGCGTGCGGTCCGTCGTACTGACCCCGCCTCCCTGGAAATGAAATACAACTTATGTAGAACAAAAATTAAGCAAATGACACTACTTGTGTTGTGGAGGTAAAAGCGGAATGAATAAAACAACAGAAAAGAACAATAACCAAAATATAAATGGTGTTCATACTGTGTTTTAAAGCCAACACAGGTGCAGCTCAGGAGGAATGCATAAAATATGGCAATGAGTCTCAATTCATGATTAGTGACAGTTAAATGATAGAGACAGCCAAAAAAATTGCATTTTAAAAGGAAACCAGACTAGAAAATCATAAAACACAGACAGACTTAAAGCAGAAACAATAAACTTGTATTGAAGGTTTATTAAAATTTTAATTAGATATGATGTTCCGTAATATGTTCTTTATTTTCAGGTCTGGTGTGCTGGTCCGGAGTCTTGTGGAATACAAGAAGGGTTTCCTCCGCTCTCCTCCTATCTTAGGGATTCAAGTGAGGTAAGTTGTTGTTATTTTGAATTTTGTTGGTGGAATTGTGGTTAATTATTGTGGTAGTAGTATACCATCGAATTCGGCCTTCCCAGTGTTGTTAGAAATGTGTAAGGTTTTTACTTAGTGTTATGGTTTATGGTGCCGAGGGAAGTATGTGTCGATGTATATTTAACCTTAATAAAGTGTGTGTATAATGTGTTGTGAATTAACTTTGTTTTTATTATGTGTGTGCTCCTATACCGATAGTGATATGTCTGTTATGGGTGCATTTGGGAAGGCCGAGTGAGCTTTTTTGACCATGAATCTGAGTTGCAGAATTTTCTCAGATTTCCCGGAACTGATGGGGGGAGGTGCCCGTCAAGCTGCTGGCCCGGGTGCCAACCCCGCAGCTTGTTGCTGTCAGGGGGACGGTGGCAGACCGGGTCAGAGGCTGCAGCGGGGCCCGCGCCCCTAACGGGAGGATCGCCCGGCTCGGCGCGCGCTCCCGATCGCTGTATAAGAGACTGTGAGGGGAGATCAGAGTTAGAATGTGGGTCTGTCATGTTGACTTTGTGACCTTGTTTTCTCATCATTTTAATCCCCTGGTTTTTCACAGACTCTCTAGCTATGTATGGAGCCGCCACCGAGCCAGCGAGAGCGCCCTCCCGGTTCTGATGGACCGGGGGCGCGGGCACCAAGATGTTATATTGGCCATCCGCCTCCACCTCCGAGCCCAGGTCTGCCACAGAGCAGGTGGAAATTTCACTGCTGCTGCGGGGCTGGAGGTCCTGTTTTGGTTTATTGTTATTTTGAGGAAATGTGATGTTATCCCCAGGCCAGCAGCCATCTATGGGAGCAGTCAGCGTCCTCTGGGGGCAGCG